AAGGAGAATCAGTTTGGTGTCTTCTTTCCCCTCACTCTTGAGAGGCCCGCTGTAACTGCGTGAATGTTACACATTGTAGTTAAACAATACTTCCTTTTTAATTCAAAACAGGGGGATGTTATTAATGGAATCCACTAGTGAATTCTTCCTGGGTGTGTTCCCTTAGTTTTTCCCCCTCAAAATCCCTGAATGCAAACATAGCAACTCTTCCGCCCAAGTTTTCAGTGCTTTCCAGAAACCAGGGGAGATCAGTGGTGACCACAAATAAACCTGACGAAAACATAAAAAGAATCCTGGCAGACCACCCAAAAGGCCACCTGGTCCAGCATTCTGCTCCCTGGTTGACTAGTCAGAAGGCAGTGGGAGCCTTAGGGATAGACAGAGTGACTGAGCCCCTCCCTCATACTCCAGTTTCCACCCGCTGATGCTGAGAGCTGTACTGTCTCTGATAGTGGAGGAAGCATAAAGCCATCATGATTTGGAAGCATTGATTGCCTTGCTCTTGAGGAATTTCTCTTTCTACCTTCCCCCAACCCAAAACCTCAGTTAGCAAATAGCTCCACAAATCAAATGAAATCTCGCTGTCTTCAGCGTATATAAAGGCATGCTCAGATATCCTGAGCATAGCCAGTTAACGTGTTCTCATAGTTTGCTGTTTGTGTAGGGGTTGCTCGTGTGGGGAGGCTGCACACATGCGCTGCAATTAAGCTTTTTGTGTTAGCATTTTTCACAGGGTACGTACTATCCCTGGCTGAAATTCTAAATTATGAAGCCCTTCCTGTTTACCAGAGTCTGATTGGAGTTGATGTTCCAATTTTTGTGTAAATTGCATTTTGTATTCATGTTTCCCCCTTTGCTGAGGACGTGGCACAAATATCTTCTGTAATATAAAATGCAGGAGCTGTTGGAATGAGTTGGGTGGATATATTACAATTTCACCTGCTGTTCTGACTTCCTCTGCAGCTGCAAAGAGAAAAACTAATACCATTGCGAGGAGTGGGTAGGCATCTGTTTCAAAAGAATTAAGTAAATCGATGGACTTTTTAATGCAGAGATATCCGTGAAACCCTACTACTAATATCTCCTTATGTTGGTTAAATAAGAAGATGCAGTGTCATCCTAAACCTGTTTTTCAAGAATAAGAGTCTCTTGATAATCACCTTCCTGAATCTGCTGTTTTTTGAGAGTGTCAGTTGACCTCCAAAAATTGCCAGTGGCTGTAGCTGGCTGGGAATTGCAGTCCAGTACATACAGAAGGCAGAGTATTCCTAATGGACATAGTTAAGACTGCATCCTCCTAGCATTGATAGAAGGCAGGAAGATATTCTAATTTCTGCTGGTGCTTCTTTCCTCTTCCAGGCATCTCCTTCATCACTGCTTTCAGGCGTTGATGGATCACGGAGTAAAAGTTGCTTCAGTTTTGGCCTATTCATTCAGCAGGAGGTGTTCCTACATTGCAGAGTCAGATGCTACCGTAAAAGAAAAAGCCATCCAGATTGGGTTTGTCTTAGGTAACTCTATGCAGATAAAATATTACCCAGTTTACTTCTTGACAAGTATCTTTAAGGGATATGTGAAAATTTAACACTTCGTCCTTTTAAAAACAAACCAACCCCAGCAAACTGGGCATGGAGAAAGAATTTAATTTGCCTCATTAGGTAGGTGAACAGTTGGAGCTGTTGTAGGTAGAAGGTAGAAAGGTAGGCAGAGGTTAGACAGATTCTGGTTCAAATTCCTACTCAAGTGTAGATTTGCTGTGTCATATATGGTTCAACTGTACCATTAATCATACATCATTCAAGGAGCAACCATTTTCTACAGAAATAAGGTTGCAAGGCCATCACTTTCTTTTCCCCCTTTGAAACAAAAATCTGCAGTGGTATGATAACGATCGTTGTTGCGGACAGGCATGAAACCCACGTGTTTCAATCCCTTTTCACCCCTTGCGTGGCTTCAGGGATGGGGAAGTACAAAGAAGATGGAAAGCCCTCTTTTCCTGAAGCCACTCTGTGTATTTGTCTCTGCCTCAAAAACAGGAAGGGGCAGTTAAGCCTCTAGAAGCAAGAGCAAATTTACATGAGAGATTGAGTGGAGGGCATTGCTAAATTCCAAACAGGCCAGGGCTGTTTTGGGCTGCAATCATCCTTTTCTGGGAGACTCACGCATCTTTTCTGGGAGAGTCATGTGTTGATAGGGCATTTCTCAGATTAATTTGCCCTGCTGGGTTGTTAAGAAGGAGGAGAATTGCAATCTTCGTTCTGAAAAATTTGGAGGAAAGATGTGTTAAAAATGTAATAAGACGCTTCCTAATTTATAGCTCATTCTTCTTAAACATTAAGCCATTACATTTATTACTACCTTTGCTCACAGTCATCCATGCCTTAGTCACCTCCCATTTTGGATTACTGCAATGCACTCTACGTGGGGCTGCCCTTGAAGACCATCTGGAAGCTGCAACTAGTCCAGAATGCAGCAGCATGCACAGTTTGGTGTGCCCTGCAGTTCGCCCAAGTACCAACACTGCTGCACAAGCTGCACTGGCTTCTAGTTGATTTCAAGGTGCTGGTTATCACCTTTAAAGCCCTACATGGCACAGGGCCAGGTTACTTGCGGGACTGCCTCTCCCTAATGGTATGCCTGTCCTACTAGGTTAGATAGGGTGGGCGCGCTCCAGGTCCCCTCCCTTAAATATTGCCACCTAATGGGACCTCAGGGGCATGCCTTCTCGGTGGCTGCCCCAGTCCTTTGGAACAGCTTCCCACCTGAGAT